TACAGAGATCTGCCCCAGGCTCCGCCCCCTCCCTCCTTGCCTGCCACCCCTCGCCCCCCAGGTGCCCCAATCACCCCTGCCCCTGCCCAGCACCTGTCTGCTTTGCCTAGTGAGGGGGCTCCCGGGTGCACGGGGAGCTGGGGGGCTGGCTTCTGCCCTCTCCCAAAGCCCCCAGCCTGATGGACACTGCCCGGACACAGGGCAGGAAAGCGCCCCGTCACAGCCCCCGGGCACTAGCCAGGAGGAGGCTGAGCAGGAGCCGGGGATGGGGCGTGCACCCATGGACGGGGGCGGCAGGTGGGAAGCAGGAGGAAGCACTGGCATTGCTTGGGCAATGCCTTCCAGACATCCACACTGGTGCTGCCGTGAAGCCAGCAAGCATGTAGGATGTGGTGCAAGAAAAGAGGCGGGTGCAAGAGAAGCCCTCGGTGGGGCAGGAGAGCCGCAGCCCCGGCAGCAAGGAGAGGAGGGGAAGGCTCACGCACAGCTGGGCTCTCGGTGCAGAGGGGACTTGAGCAGAGCATCTCCCCCTCTTGCCTTCGGTACCAGTGCAGTGAAACACAGGCATGAAAACAGCAGGAGACACCGCCCTCGTGGGGGAAGCCCCATGAACAAGTACCGGTAATAATGAGCCAGAAAAGCCCGGCCTAGGCCACTGAGAGCAGGACCGTGTTCATCTGAACACTTGCAAACTCGTGAAACCATAGACCTTGGTGACCTTGGTTCAGGGATGTATTTGGTAGCTGTGTTGGTCTGAGAAATATATATTTTAGTTGGTCTAATGAAAGTTATCGTCTCTGAACCGAGAGTTGTAGATGTTTGCATTTCATAGACCTCGGAGAATTTCAGGCCAGACGAAACCATGACGGCCTAGTCCGGTCTCTGCATGAACCGGGCCATGGCCGCAGAAGACGGGTAACGTGCAGGGGGGCGATCCTGCTGCTGGACCGTGGGAGCAAGTCCAGATCTCCCTCCACGCCCGGGGGCTCTGCGTAGATTGAGGGAGCTGCTCACCTTGGATCCGAGAGCTAAACCTCGGCCACGGGCCCCGAGTCAGAGCAAGCTCTTCCCATGCTCGTCTCCAATGACGAGCTCAAGCCTGCGCTATCTTTACGTGGCGAACGCCCCGCAAGCTCTACGCACGGTCCCCACCTAGCAGGTGTTTTAAAACTGGCCCCAACACGGTTGTTATGCAGCTATTTTCAAAGGTGTCATAATCATAGAAAAACATGTATCTGACCTGTCCTGCTCTGTCTTGTGTTCATAGCAAGAATAATCACAGGACTTTCCAGCAACGAGGAATATGGTTTGTGCTCATGTGCGGATGAAGACGGTAAAACCACCACGCGGTCTTAGACGTGACAATGACCCGGTGCCCTGGGAAGATGAGTACGGTAGTGCGCCCGGGCTGCCTGCAGGGGCTTCAGCAGGGCTGGAAGTCGCATGGCCCACGCTACCCATTTGAAGGGTTGCTCTTCTGGCCGACGGTGATTACCTGAAAGGTTTTCCTCCGAGGAAAGCAGTCATAATTTCAGCCTGGTGTGCTCAGCGCCTGCACCGGTGCATGCCACCACCCCACAGCATCGTCACCATATTTTTCCAATGAGCCACAACTCTGGATTGAAGATTTGGAAAGGTCGGTTAAGAGGCAATGCTGCTGCTACGTCCTTCCTGGGAACGAACCGACTTGTTACTAATACCCAGGGCCTTGTGATTTTAAAGCAGCGCTGCAAGCCATCCTACCTTGAAGGCAGGAAGGAAAACAATGGCTGCAGCCGTACCCTGGAGTCTGGGATATTTTTGTCACCCGCTGAGCTGAACATGGAGCGCTGCAGAAAGTGATTCACCGTGTAGTGCCCAGGGTGCCATGTGCACTCGCAGGGTTTCCTGCGCTTGGGGTGCACGGTGCTGACTGTGGCAGTGATTAAAGCCAGACTTGGCCCTTTCCATAAGAGACACAGAAATGATGCATTGCACGGACACACACACACACACACACACACACACACACACACGGAAGGCAATCACAATGGCCCATTCTTGATTACTTTAGCTAAAGGAATAGCAAGCTCTCTGGAGGGTGTGCTACATTCGGCACGCTTGTACTAAGTTCTTTTCCATTTTAATTGTAACTAAGTGCACTTTGCCTGTTTCTTGCTCATTGATCTTGTAACTGCCCTGATTTCCAAATGCAGCCTGCATAGCTGTGGCTCATGGACCCTGAATGTAGCAGAAACCTTTTCAGGAAACCTTTTTCCCTTCATTTTTCAATGCAAATGTTAACCAGCGTGTCAATATTCCTGTGCCAGCATCCCAGGTCCCTGTGTGTGAGGAGGTGCCGACATCAGCTGGAATTCCCGTTTTAGTATGCGTGTTTCTTAATTCACACACAGACAGTCAGATGGTGTTAAAGCTGGGATTTCCAAGGCCAGGTTTAATGTTAGCAGGCATTCAGCACCTTTCAGCAGCTCTGAAAATGGCCAGCCTTACACTTCCAAGTGCTTCCTTCCTCTGAGGATGCCATTGTCTTTATTAATGCAAGAAAATCCCCCACCGGTGCAATGAAAGCAATGAAATACAAACAAGCTCCGAAACGGCTCCCCAGGGCACCCAGCCCAGCTCATTCCCATCCCAGTCCTGACAAACCACGGAGCACAGATTCTCTTGCAGGCTCTCCTCCAAAACGGTGACAGCAACTCCTAGCTGGCTCAGGGAGCAAGACACTTCCTTTCCTTGCTAAATACCTTGTGACAAGGTATTTAGCAGACATCAGAGATGTGGCTGCACTGTGAGCACTTCTGCTACAACCTTGAACTTGCAACCTCGGTGCTATCAGCTGCACGCTAGAGTGTCCGTGCTGCCCCTGCCCCGAGCAAGACACTGAAATCAAGGACGGTAAGACATGGGCTGGCAGTTGTCTCCTGACACACAACCCCATGGCAGAAGGTCGATGGAGGAGCTGGTGGCTGCACAAAGTCACTTTACCCTGGGGGCCCAACACTAGCCGTGTTTCAGCTACAGAAAATGAACCAGCATCTCAAAACTAAGACTCCAAGAATATTGAATTCATGTTCCCAGTCCCTTGGAGAGGTAGGCAAGCAGCATCCTCCTCTTGCAGCTGGGGAACACAAAGCGCTCCGGACGGCATTGCCCCGCGTACTGAAACAACTGGCCCAGGTTCCTTCACGTCTTTCGACTCCGTCTCCCTGCATCGGCCGGAGGGCGTGAAAACAAGGCCATCAGCAGTGGGAACGGCTCCGAGACCGCTGGAAGCAGGGCAGGCTGTGTTGCTTCGCAGTCGAGGGGTGGTACCTCATCCACACACGGGCAGGATCCGGCTCTCGTGGGAAGGGAGCAGCAGAGCGAGCAAGTGGCTGTACTGGATGCTGCTCATGGGAGACACTTTACTGGAAGAGACTGGTCTTAGATGCGGATCTGAGAGCTAAGCAACAAGGGCTCTGCTTTTCCTTTTGGACCCTGGAGGAGAGGTGAGATGCTGGAAACACAGCTAACATCTCTCCAGGACGGACCTCAATGCTCATCCAGGCTGACGTCTTGCACTGGCCTCACCAAGCCTTTCCTGTCTTGTGCCCAGGAGCATGCGGTGGAAGCAGAGCAGATCAGCCAGGAAAGCAACCAGCGCTGAGCCAAAGCGAAAGCAGATCTGGCTCTCCAGCCATTCGTGCCAATCAGATACGGTGCGACTGCACGGACTTTATCCAGTTTCTATTAGCACAAGTGACTGGAGGAGCTGTTCCAAAGCGTCGATCACATGCCGGTCGTGGGCACCTAGGGCGTTTGCAACGGCGCCAGAATGCCTCTCAATATGGTCTAAAGGTCAGAGACGGGATGGTAACACACCTCCGCCGTCACCTTGCAAAGTCTGGGCCTAAGAGCGCAGCAACTGTATCTAAGAATATGTCAAAACAGGAGCCGCGGCATAATGTGATGGAAGTGAGTAAGTAATGAGCAATATGTCGTGTCATTATAGAAATGCATACATTGTACAGAGTAGCTGCATCTTGGCAGCCCAAGGTTGGCCACGTTTTAGTAACAGGAGGCAAAATATCATTGCAAAAATAAAATACAGGATCTCTTCTGTGACTGATCCAAGAAATAAGGGAGGAAGGGGAAGGGGGAGGAGGAGAACTTGATACTATGTTAAATCGCAACAATTGCAGCAAGTTACAGGGATACAATGTAATTGCAGGTTGTATTGGCGCTTCCTGCCTCCTGCTTGATTGGCTGTCTTTTTCCTCGGGTAATTTTTTTTGATTAAAAAAAAAACACTGCAAGAAATTACAGTGGTGCCAGCACGGATCGGCTGATGACGAAAAAGGCTCGAAACCCTGGTTTTGTGCTCTCGAGCAAAAGGGCAGGACCACGAAGGAAAAGGATGGCGATCCCTGCTGCCCGCAGAGAAGCCTCCCCACCAGGGCAGCAGCACCAGCGTCCTTGCAAGACAGAGGTGTCAAAGCAAGCAGCTGTCCTGGAGCCGCGGGCCCTGCAGATCCGGTAGTTA